CTTCTAAAGTTAACATCCGGTGAACGCCAAGGAAAGGAAAGGAAAATTATTCTAGGAATAACATCTCACGGATGAAAATCAAACAGCTACAAATCCATAAATGCTTTTTAATTGTCTGGTCGTTTATAGGGTGTTCAGTGACTTCCTCCACAGTCACGATTTTTAAATAATTGCGTACTACGTCATGAAATCTGCCTAGTTCGTGATGTGAAAAAATGTCAGCTTGAAGCAAAGTTGCCGAGGGCAGGATTTGTGGAATACTGTATAGCACAGTTAATAAATATGTCACAGACAACATGTACAAATTTGCGCGACATCAGGAGCCTCTTTTGGCAGTGGTGAAACGTCGCAAACTAGGTTTGGCCAGGTGGTCAGACATGATTCGATTGCAAAGATTACTTCAAGGAACATTGGGGGTGGTCGAAGAAGAGGAGAGAAACATAACATAACCTTTGACCCGTTAGGGTCGTAGAGGTGTATTGATGGCGGCACTAGCACATAAAACCCGCCATCTTTCTCTGTCTTCTGCTTGATGAAAAAGTGTATGAAAACTTAGTCCTGTCCATTTCTTGATGTTGTTATTCCAGGTTCTTCTTTTCTCTCCTCTTCTTCGAGAAACCCCTTTCACCCGTTATGGCCACATTCATGGCACGGCTATATTCAGGGCCCCTGGCAAAAGCAAGGCTGAAGCTTTAAATAACGAAAGATTGCATCATTGCACATGGGTACGACGATAACCATCTATTTACGAGCTGTTGTTTTGGTACACTTATCAGCAGATGGTTTTTGACATTATCTTCTTCTTCTTTGGTTCGCTTGAAACAGATTATATATATATATGCAATGTTTTCTAGTATGAAATTCACTGTCTGTTGTAATTCACTCAGCGACTCGTAACGTTTTACTTACACTTGTGTTTTTTCTTGGCCAAAAGTTTTGCCATGATGTGAAATATTTTTGACAGTCTTGCAGGACGGGATATGTTGTCTTATGAGATAATCCATATGTGCACATGGCTGATTCGCCAGTCTTGAATTGTGTGTACATGTGGCTGCGAAGTCGATTGTGTCCTGTTCTAAGGCGTAAAATATTGACTTTCTCTATTCATCTGCTCTGTGTGTATGTCACCTCTTAGCTTAAAGAGCGAAAGAATACAGTAATCGAAAGATAGACACACAAAAAGTAAGAAAAGAAAGAAAGAAAGAAAGAAAGAAAGAAAGAAAGAAAGAAAGAAAGAAAGAAAGAAAGAAAGAAAGAAAGAAAGAAAGAAAGAAAAAGAAAAAGAAAGAAAGAAAGAAAGAAAGAAAGAAAGAAAGAAAGAAAGAAAGAAAGAAAGAAAGAAAGAAAGAAAGAAAGAAAGAAAGAAAGAAAGAAAGAAAGAAAGAAAGAAAGAAAGAAAGAAAGAAAGAAAGAAAGAAAGAAAGAAAGAAAGAAAGAAAGAAAGAAAGAAAGAAAGAAAGAAAGAAAGAAAGAAAGAAAGAAAGAGGTCACCTATACCTTTGCCTAAGGTAGGTATCAATCACACCTTCCTGTTTCATCTTGACAGTTAAGATGAAAATCCTTCTCCTGTTTGGTCTGTTGACGGTCACCACTGGAGCAGAAGTTGGCCAGCTCTTGAGTTCTCCTGCACAGGAAAACAGCCGTGTGCCCAGATACAGCCCCTATTTTGAGCTGCCGAGAGACATTGCCGTTGGTAAACCCCTTAGCCAAATTCCGGAGTATTACCGACGTAAGTTCGTCGGAGTGGTTTTGATAACTTCTGCCCTAATTTTTTTTAATTATTGATATTATTAGATATTATATAAGGCTTAAACAGCTGAGCCTTTCGGCCAAGTATATCCTTTAACAAACGCCTCATTAGTTATTTTATCGTATGCTGATAAAAGGGGAGTTCATTACTACAAAATAGGGTCTTGGAACCCACAAAAGGACCACACTGTAGTACTGACCGGCAGACATTTTTTCTTTGAAATATCCGCCCTGAAAACATGGGGCTATTAGAAATGTCTGTGTTCTGGTGTGTTATTTCAGTTGTTAATTACAAATGTATGTTCTTACTACATAGTTGTAAGATCGTGTGAATGACTATGAAAGCCGTGAAAGGTTAAAAAAAACTCTCTTGACTTTCAGACTAAACTACGAGAGAAGCACCATTGAAGAGATTGTAAAGACACCGTGCAATTCTCCCAAAAACTCCAGTGGGTATACTCTCGCCAACCTTCAGTTTAGAGACGCCCCACTCCCCCCTCCCACACACATACACACAAAGCAGTTCGTGTAACGAAACACGCAATTTAATGCAGGAGGGCTTTGTCGTCGTTTAGAGGCGGAAAGTTTGAATCTGACAGATCAGCACCGCAAGCACTCCTTATGTGGTGCAAAATAAATATGGCTACAGATGTCAACTGCCCTGTATCTAGTGTGTATTCTAATCGTTTAATTATTTTTCTTTTATCTACTTCTGTTAGTGCCGATCAATACACAAGAAATTATTTGTCTTATATCTACTTCTCTTAGTGCCGATCAATACACAAGCAATTATTTGTCTTATATCTACTTCTCTTAGTGCCGATCAATACAGAAGAAATTATTTGTCTTTTATCTACTTCTCTTAGTGCCAATCAATACACAAGAAATTATTTGTCTTATATCTACTTCTCTTAGTGCCGATCAATACACAAGAAATTATTTGTCTTATATCTACTTCTCTTAGTGCCGATCAATACACAAGAAATTATTTGTCTTTTATCTACTTCTATTAGTGCCGATCAATACAAAAGAAATTATTTGTCTTATATCTACTTCTCTTAGTGCCGATCAATACACAAAAAATTATTTGTCTTATATCTACTTCTCTTAGTGCCAATCAATACACAAGAAATTATTTGTCTTATATCTACTTCTCTTAGTGCCAATCAATACACAAGAAATTATTTGTCTTATATCTACTTCTCTTAGTGCCGATCAATACACAAGAAATTATTTGTTTTATATCTATTTCTCTTAGTGCCGATCAATACACAAGAAATTATTTGTCTTTTATCTACTTCTCTTAGTGCCGATCAATACACAAGAAATTATTTGTCTTTTATCTACTTCTCTTAGTGCCGATCAATACACAAGAAATTATTTGTCTTATGTCTACTTCAAGCGATGGGCAGAACATTTCAAGGAAATATTAAATAGGCCAAATCCTGACATCATTGCCAATCTAGAAGAAGAAATTATTACACCGACACTAGTTGCCTCCAGCGAGTCATTCACAATCTAGAAGAAGAAATTATTACACCGACACTAGTTGCCTCCAGCGAGTCATTCACAATTTAGAAGAAGAAATTATTACACCGACACTAGTTGCCTCCAGCGAGTCATTCACAATAGAGGAGATTAAAACAGCTATTAAAAAATTAAGAATAAACAAAACTACCGGAGAGGACAACATCTCAGGGGAAATTCTCAAAGCAGCGGATGAAAACACCCTGCAACATTTGCTCCAGCTGATGGATGAAGTCTGGCAAAACGAATACCCACCACAACAATGGAAAGATGGTGTAATCTTCAAATTACCTAAAAAAGGTGATTTATCCGATTGTAACAACTGGAGAGGCATCACCCTGCTTTCGATACCAGGGAAACTATTTTGTAGTATGCTACTAGAAAGATTGAAAAAATCCATAGATGAAAGATTAAGGGAAGAACAAGCCGGTTTTAGATCCAAGCGGTCATGCATAGACCACATCTTTACTCTTAGAATAATTGTTGAAGATTCTACAGAATTCCAGTCGAAATTATTGATCAACTTTGTCGACTTTCAAAAAGCCTTCGACAGTATCCATCGTCCAACACTCTGGAAATTGCTTAACATCTATGGTTTCCCCATCAAATATATCAACATCATAAAATCTTTTTATAATGAAACACGATGCTGTGTAAGAACTGATTCCGGCAATTCTGACTGGTTCCCGGTGGAAACAGGAGTGAAGCAAGGCTGTGTCCTATCGCCGATGCTTTTTGGTATAGCAATCGACTGGGTCATGCGCAAGTGCATAAATAACGCAAATTTAGGCATTACATGGGTTGACAAAATTCTGGAAGACCTAGACTTCGCTGACGACATAGCACTCCTGAGTTCAGAACACACAGACGCCCAAGAAAAAATCAATCGACTCCAGAATTTCTCAGAACAAATTGGACTCCAAATTAACACCGCAAAAACAAAAATTCTAGACCTTACCAACAGTTCAGTTGATATCACGCTGAACAACAACAGCCTTGAAAAAGTCAACAGTTTCACTTATCTAGGGAGCAAGATGTCATCTACAGGAGATACCGCACCAGAAATATCATTTAGAATAGCACTGGCATCTAGTGCCTTCAATAAACTGTCTAACATCTGGAAATCAAAGACACTTAGCAAACACACAAAACTCAAGATCTTCAATTCTTGTGTGATTCCAGTACTAACCTATGGATGCGAGAGTTGGAAATCAACGAAAACTCTAGACACAAAATTAGACAGTTTTGAAAATAAATGCCTTAGAAGAATACTAAATTTCAAATGGTCAGATTTCCGAACCAATACACAAATAAGGCAAGAATCCAGGCAAGAGTATGTGTCTAATTTTATACGAAAACGCCGCTGGAACTATGTCGGCCACGTCCTTAGAATGGATAAATCAAGACTTCCTTACCAAGCCCTCATTTGGACACCACAGGGGAAAAGATCTCGTGGAAGACCAAGGGAAACCCTACGTAGAACTATCATCAGGGAAGGCTCGCTCATGGGCCACTCAAACATCCAAGACCTACAACGGATTGCAACGGACCGCCGTGCATGGAGAGTCACGACCTCTGCCCTATGTGCCGCACTCGACACAAGAGGAAAGACTAACTAACTAATGTCTACTTCTCTTAGTGCCAATCAATACACAAGAAATTATTTGTCTTATGTCTACTTCTCTTAGTGCCGATCAATACACAAGAAATTATTTTTCACGCAGAATACGCCTGCACCGTCAACCAAAAGGACTACTACGAACATGGAGCACTTTTCAGAATAAGCTATGAAACCAGGTGTGTAACGTACAGATGTGAGTACGGCTCCTACCTGATCTATCAGGAAGGTGAGTATGTTCAGTTATCATATTTCAGCATAAGCAGGATTTATTGTTTTATAAATGTTTATACTTACAGCCCTACAACACGCACTATTTATTGTTTCATAAAGTCATATATTTACAACACTGCAACACGCACTATTTATTGTTTCATGAGATCATATATTTGCAGCACTACAACACGCACTATTTATTGTTTCATAAAGTCATATATTTGCAGCACTACAACATGCATTATTTATTGTTTCATAAAGTCATATATTTGCAGCACTACAACACGCATTATTTATTGTTTTATAAAGTCACATATTTGCAGCACTACAACATGCAATATTTATTGTTTTATAAAGTCATATATTTGCAGCGCTACAAAATGAAGTATTTATTGTTTTATAAATCATATATTTACAGTACTACAACACGTATTATTTATTGTTTCATAAATTCATATATTTACAGCACTACAACACGCACTATTTATTATTTGATAAAGTCATATATTTACATCACTACAACACTCAGTACTGATTGGGTAAAACACGCTGCAATAATAAAATGAAGAATATCTTGTGCAAAATATCCTTGTCATTGAGAGTTAGAAAAAGAATTCTTGCTTGCTACATACATCCAGTTTTAACATTTGGCTATGAATCCGGGACATTCGGTAGGCAGGCCAAACAGTTTCTTGAGGCCTGAATCTTAGACAATCGGTAGGCAGGCCAAACAGTTTCTTGAGGCCTGAATCTTAGACAATCGGTAGGCAGGCCAAACAGTTTCTTGAGGCCTGAATCTTAGACAATCGGTAGGCAGGCCAAACTGTTTCTTGAGGCCTGAATCTTAGACAATCGGTAGGCAGGCCAAACAATTTCTTGAGGCCTCAGAGATGTGGTTTTACAGAAGAATGCTTAGAATACCGTGGACAACCAAAAAGAGCAACCAAGAGGTTTTGAAAGAGGCGGGAGCCCGAAGACAACTTATTACAGACATCAGAAGGAGACAGTCATCATTTTTCGGCCATGTTATGAGAAGAGGGAAAATAGAACATGTTGTGACCACTGGAAAGATCTGTGGAAGGAGGGATAAAGGAAGACAACGAGAGAAGATTCTTGACAGTCTTATTGCATGGCATGGAGGTGTGTACGCACACAAACTGATACATGCTGAAGGAGATCGCAGATTGTAGATGGGCATGATCGACCACGCCAGTCGGCAAGGCACCTGATGATGATGATGATATTTTTAGCAGTATTGATTGCTTGTTAAATTCTGATACTGTCAGCACCACACGATATATAATTTATTGTTTGTTTTATTAGTAATCAGTTGTGATTGTTTTTGCTGCTGTCTCGCCAGCGAAGAGTCTAGAGGTTGGTCTGCTGGCCCAAAGATCGCAGTTTGAATCTGCTTCAGACAGATAGTTGTTGTTTAAAGCTGACCTTGAATTCCAAGGTCGACTGGTTTGAACCGCATCATCCACCGCGAATTGGCCTATACAAATCTGAAACTATGATGATATACTCGATTCGTCACACACACACACACACACACACACACACACACACACACACACACACACACACACACGCACACGCACGCACACACACACACACACACACACACACACACACACTCACACACAAGGGGTCATTTTTCAGTTTTTCAGCTGAATGTGTTTTTCCAACTGTAGTGGTACTGTATTTTTTTATACTAATTCTCCCAGTGTAGTTTCCGGGGTCCCATTGTAGGAAAAACAAGAATAGACCCACTGCCTCACTAACAAGCATGTCGTAAGAGTAGACTAACCAGCGCTTCCTCCAAAGTCTGAGTGCGTCCGCCGGAGAGGTAAGGAACCAACAGTCTGCATCAGCGGCTATTTGATTCAGTTATCATCTTGTAACACAGTTAAGTTAGTTGCATATCCTAACAGGACGTTGCAAAACCAACCCCAACATTGTTTGGCTGTTGTGCTTTTTTTTTTAAGCAAATTCTAAGTTCAGCTTGCCTTTGCTTCCTAAACGGTTAGCTCTCTGTAAGTAAAGTAAAAAAGTAAAGTTCCCTTTTCACGCCTTTCGGCGCATCGGGCATATGGGCAGAGCGTCCCATATTTTTACAGACCATCAGCACTCTGTGGGTAATGTGGTCAGCATTACGCCGGCTGTCTTTACTTTCCCAGCTCTCTGTACTACTATCGAAACCAACGCAGGCCACACATCGTCTGCAGCATGGATCGAACCCGGCTCCTTGGCATTACGAAGCGCCTTCGCAACGACATAACCACAGATGCCGACTGTAGCACAGTACATTACAGAACTACAGAGGTTCCGTGAAGACTGTGAATGAAAAGAAGGTTGCCAAATTTTTAAACAACGACTGACATATGTTGGTCACATTAAAAGACGAAAGTTAGTTGCGTATCCTTTACAGGACGATGCATAGCCAACCTTAGCTTTTGTTGGCTGTTGTGTTTTCTTTTCTAGTCACATCTTACGTTCAGTAGTTTTCCATTGCTCACTGAACTGTCAGCTCTCAGTACCACTGTCGAAACCAACACAAGACAAATCGTCCTCAGCTAGGAATCGAACCCAGCACCCCAGCATTACGAAGCGCCTTTGAAACGCGTAAGTCATAGACACCGGTTGAGAGAGTTTACTACCAAGAAAAGAGACAGAGAATATTGTAGATCCATTTCAGTCAACCTTCACTATGGAGACGGCACCTGACTGGTTTAACACAGTATATATGTGTTTGTAACTGAGAGAGAGATATGAGAATGCAGATTTTTCACAAGGTAAAGACTTCTTGAACTCTTTCCCTTTACTCTTTCTGCCCCAACCAACGCACTATGTGTAACTGGACATTATTTCTGTATTCCAATTAAAGCCTTACATATGTTTTCACATTTGATGTTTCGTCAAGGACTCTAAAGAACTCAAACAATATTCTTGTGTCCTACAACAATGTGTATTTGGACCTTGGTGTCCTACAACAATGTGTATTTGGACCTTGGTGTCCTACAACAATGTGTATTTGGACCTTGGTGTCCTACAACAATGTGTATTTGGACCTTGGTGTCCTACAACAATGTGTATTTGGACCTTGGTGTCCTACAACAATGTGTATTTGGACCTTGGTGTCCTACAACAATGTGTATTTGGACCTTGGTGTCCTACAACAATGTGTATTTGGACCTTGGTGTCCTACAACAATGTGTATTTGGACCTTGCTGTCCTACAACAATGTGTATTTGGACCTTGGTGTCCTACAACAATGTGTATTTGGACCTTGGTGTCCTACAACAATGTGTATTTGGACCTTGGTGTCCTACAACAATGTGTATTTGGACCTTGGTGTCCTACAACAATGTGTATTTGGACCTTGGTGTCCTACAACAATGTGTATTTCGACCTTAGTGTCCTACAACAATGTGTATTTCGACCTTGTGTCCTACAACAATGTGTATTTGGACCTTGGTGTCCTACAACAATGTGTATTTGGACCTTGGTGTCCTACAACAATGTGTATTTGGACCTTGGTGTCCTACAACAATGTGTATTTGGACCTTGGTGTCCTACAACAATGTGTATTTGGACCTTGGTGTCCTACAACAATGTGTATTTGGACCTTGGTGTCCTACAACAATGTGTATTTGGACCTTGGTGTCCTACAACAATGTGAATTTCGACCTTGGTGTCCTACAACAATGTGTATTTGGACCTTGGTGTCCTACAACAATGTGTATTTCGACCTTGGTATCCTACAACAATGTGTATTTGGACCTTGGTGTCCTACAACAATGTGAATTTCGACCTTGGTGTCCTACAACAATGTGTATTTGGACCTTGGTGTCCTACAACAATGTGTATTTGGACCTTGGTGTCCTACAACAATGTGTATTTCGACCTTGGTGTCCTACAACAATGTGTATTTGGACCTTGGTGTCCTACAACAATGTGTATTTGGACCTTGGTGTCCTACAACAATGTGTATTTGGACCTTGGTGTCCTACAACAATGTGTATTTGGACCTTGGTGTCCTACAACAATGTGTATTTCGACCTTGGTGTCCTACAACAATGTGTATTTGGACCTTGGTGTCCTACAACAATGTGTATTTGGACCTTGGTGTCCTACAACAATGTGTATTTGGACCTTGGTGTCCTACAACAATGTGTATTTGGACCTTGGTGTCCTACAACAATGTGTATTTGGACCTTGGTGTCCTACAACAATGTGTATTTGGACCTTGGTGTCCTACAACAATGTGTATTTGGACCTTGGTGTCCTACAACAATGTGTATTTGGACCTTGGTGTCCTACAACAATGTGTATTTGGACCTTGGTGTCCTACAACAATGTGTATTTGGACCTTGGTGTCATACAACAATGTGTATTTGGACCTTGTGAACTAGAACACCTATGGGTTCGGTGTTGTTATATCTCCCTCACAGAACAGCATCCAAACCCTTCCGGGACCGAAACAATTCAAATCTTAAAGTGGAAACACATTATTATTTCTTGTCTCCGTTTGTTTGTTCTATCGACCCCTAGAATTCTTTTCATTTTCCAGAGAAACCAAACTGTATGATGCCATCAGTTTTCTCTGAGCTCGCCCGTTTATTGCTCATATTTTACACGCATAAAACAAAAGTTAGATACCTGTCCTTTGCGGAACTTTACAGATCCAACCACGACCAGTTTTAGCTGTTTGTGATTTCACATGGCAATCTACACTCAGAAGTTTGACATTTGCTATATTAACGTTCCGTTACTTTGCTTGAAAGACAAAAAAAAGTGTCACGTTCAACCAGCATCCCCAAAGGGATGTTTTCACATTTTATAATGGTGTTATAATGGTTATAATGGTGACCAGGTTACGGGCGGCATTTAAATTGGCACAGCAATGCACGCCACGAATGGAATGGACTTCTTCAGTGTAGATGCCATTTGAGGGCGTTCTAACCGTTTGACCAGCCACTTCTCACCGACACATTAACGACGAGAAAGGGTGATGCAGGAAGGATTTTTTTTTTTTTTAAAGAGACAGCTAAACAAAAATAAATGAACATTTCGGTGTTGTCTTTCTATTTTTTTCACAGGGTGCCTAGATATTTCCAGCCAAAGATGTGTCCACGTAGGTCACTCATGGTCGGTGAGATGCCACAACTTTCTGTGCACAAAGACTCAAGAAAATAACATAATTCGTTACGAAGGTCTTCGTAATCAAATAGGTTAGTTGTATTGTTTTCCGTTGTTAACATTATAATTTAGCAACATAAGGAATATCGGTTGGTGAGCATATTGTTAACAGCCTGTGATATGCTGATAATATAGGTTTGATCTCTGAAAATGAAATACAATTGTAAAAAATGATGGATATATTTGTAACGGAAAGTGCAACTGAAGGGTCTTAGTTTGAACAGCAGAAAAAAAGTAAGTAAAGGTAAGTACAAAGAAAACTGACCACCCAAAAGCAACATCAAAGTAAATGGTTCAAACCTCAAGCAAGTTGATAGGTTTAGTTACTTGTGTCGAATAGCTCAAGCAAATGCAGCATTTTACAAAATGAAGAAATTTGAACAAAGAAGACACAAACAATAGATTGCAAAATTAATTGCCTGACATATTGTATCTCGTCAGGAGCATATTACAGTAACAATTACATAAATGAAACAAATAAGTGAATCCTTTATAACTGAAGTACAATTTCAACAACGATCAAACATGACTGCCTGTTTTTACCAGGGCAGCTGTAAAGAGTGAACCATCGCTTTCTGTATACAGAGTTCCGGGCGCTGGGGACAAGTCACAGAAGCTTCGAGAAATCTTAGCGTTCTGCCATTGATTGACGTATGAAGGATTCGAAATGCGTTGCATTTAGTCACCACGTGTCCAAATTAAAAGCTATATAAATCCTATCTTGATATATGAAAATCAATCATGAACAGTTAGAAAATTAGCTGTAACTTTTTTTAAAACTGCAGATATGGGGGTTTTATAGACGAATAATGAGAATACTCGGGACAGAGAAAACTGAAGGCCGCATCAGAAAGAGACAATCTACATTCTCTGGTCATGTGAATGTAAAAAGAAAACTGGAATACATTATGACAGTAGCAAAGTTGGGGGGAGGAGAGGCAGAGGGAGACCTAGAGAAAAGATACTGGACAGTTTGACATCATGACATGGAGGATCATCGGAATCAGAATTGATTAAAAGTACACGAGGTAGACAGTTTTGGATAGACATGACTATCAATGCCACACGCCTTGGACTTGAAGAAGAAAAAGGTTAAGGAAAGTATGAATCTGAGGTTACACTGTTTACACCTGGGTATGAAAGCATCCGCCCAACTGATGCCTTGTGAGCGACAGAAGGCTGACTCTAAGATTGGATTAGGATAGCAACGAAATCTGATGACATCCAACATGGTGTAGGCTATGAAAGTCATCATCGTCATCCTCACTTAATCTCTGAGACGCAAGAGTTTAGAGAAAACAACGGCGTCCTACAAGACAGAGGATGGGAGGAGTTGTAGACTAGAAAGGCATGGGAGTCGGTCGGTTTGTATTAGACCAATGTGCAGAGACCATGAGGGTTGATAGAAACTGAAAAGCCTAGGAAATTCACCGAAGAAGAAGAAATCTGATGAGTTAGTTTATAACTAGGGTAAAATTTGAAGAAGAATTCAGTGAAGTTCTTGAGTTTTACTACCGACAAATCGTCATCATCCTCATCATCATCAATTTTCACTTTCTGCGTTAAGCGTTGTGGAGAGAAATAGTTTGTGATCCATTGCTTGATGGGCATCAATGGTTTTAATCATTCGGTGTTGATGTAGAAGCTCTTTAATGTCATCAATCCATGTTCTCCTAGAGCGGCCTCTTGCTTTTACTTCAGATCTTTTCATGTGAGGTGCCTGTGTTGGTAGTTGTTCTGGATGCATTCTTACTAAATGACCGAACCATTAGATCTTCTGTTTCTCAGTGCATTTTCTACATGATGTTGTTCCTACAGTCTGTCTGATAATATCATTTCTAACTTTGTCTCCGATGGTCAAGTTGGCGACTTTTTTCAGGTAAATCAGTTCACAGGTGTTAATGTTACGTAGGTTAGCCGACAAATCAGTGAGACCAAAACTATCATCTATGTATCTTCTATACAGTTTAGGGACGCGATCCGTGTATAGTTGCCATACTTGGTAACAAGAAAACCCATGAAAAGGCAGGCATAACTAGGGCTCATTTTGGTGCTTGTAGCCACTCCACTAAGTTTGACAACGTTACTGGTAGTTAAAAGCAAAATATGTCATAATCAATTCGGCTGAACGTATGATGGGTTCGGTGGCAATGGCTGGATTTTTGCGTTTATCAAGAACGAACAGCAAAGCCTGGAGTCATCACTGTGGGGGATGCATGTGTAAGTGAGGCAACATCCAAAGTGAAGACCTGATACTTATGGTCTCAGTTGAAAATAGACTCAAAAGTTACAATAGCATGATTGGTGTCCTTCATATAAAACGGAAGTTCGGCCACTAATGGCTGAAAAATATTGTCCAAACGTGCAGCTGGTTTGGACACGAGCAAGCTGTACTATAAGGTCTCCCTGGATGCTGCCTTTTATTGATAATAAACAGATGATGGAGTATTTTGTTTAAATATCCAGAAACCATGAGTTGTTAACCCTTTGGTTCGGTACTGTGGATATTGCAAACCCTTCGGCCTTGATTCCATGACAGATACCGTAAATCTAGGATAATTGTGGCTTTTCTGCCTACCCCCGGGTGTGAACTCAGACCAAAGAAGATGACGCAGTATAGAAAGCTGCGACAAGTCAGATCGCGTTTGTCCAGTGGCGTAATCTGTCCCCAGAGGTCATCCAGATGACGTTGTTGAATTATTCAGGACACAACACATACGGGTGGAGATCGCATTTTATCTCTACCTGAAACATGCATGTTCCATACACTGCATGCCAATTACCCGCTTGACAGGTTAAATCTTGGCGTAAAACAACGTGGGGTGATCTTGTACCGCAAACCGTTGAGGTTAACATGGCAAATTGTGTGTGTGTGTTTTCTTTAACGAATTAGGAGCTAAATCAATTACTCCCTGTCTGAGGTCACCCGGTAAAAACTGAAGCTTAAAATGATGTCGGATCTGAGTGAACTGAGCAAAGGCAGACCAAGAAAGACGATGCTTGCCGGCCTGAAGCGACAGCATGGTGGCATATTATCAGCGAAATAGACTCAAAACTACGGAGGACCCAGATCTGTGCAGAGTCATGAGAACCTACGCTGTTGGACTGGACACATGATGATGATGATACGTATGATGTGTGTGACAAGTTGTTTGGATGACTTCGTCTTTTTTTTTTCTAATAATGTCGATGACCTGATTTTGCTTGTCCAAGAGGATTCTTTTGGTCTTAGTTGTGTGGCCAGGTTTTCTTCTTGCTGTATTCACTTATAAAGACTCTCAAAGTGGTTTCCACACCCAGTTGAGAGAATAGATTAACTGCTTTTTAAAAACATGTCGTTCAAGTGCGACTAATGAAGGTTTTGCCGAAACGGGAAGTATTGGACCGAAAGAAGCAGATATCTCAGCATAGCTTTAAACCACAGCACGGTGTGCCAACCGTCCTTCTGAGAACGAAAGAAGAAGAAGAAGAAGAAAAGGATGAAGAAGAAGAAGAAGAAGAAGAAGAAGAAGAAGAAGAAGAAGAAGAAGAAGAAGAAGAAGAAGAAGAAGAAGAAGAAGAAGAAGAAGAAGAAGAAGAAGAAGAAGAAGAAGAAGAAGAAGAAGAAGAAGAAGAAGAAGAAGAAGAAGAAGAAGAAGAAGAAGAAGAAGAAGAAGAAGAAGAAGAAGAAGAAGAAGAAGAAGAAGAAGAAGAAGAAGAAGAAGAAGAAGAAGAAGAAGAAGAAGAAGAAGAAGAAGAAGAAGAAGAAGAAGAAGAAGAGGTAATGGTGTAAATTTTGTAAAGGTAACGTTTGCTTGTTATCTCAATGTTTTTTCTTTCTCCGAAATTCCAGTCTTCCCCAGCCTCTCTTTCCACCCTTTCCCCCCTTTTGTCTGTCCTTTCAAACCACTAACCCATCGCCTGCCATCCCCGTGCCATCCAGTCATCCGATATTACTTCATTCTCCCGGTTCTAGAAACAAAGCTGTCCTTTAACTTATGCTTGCTCGGGCTGGTCTACATTACAGGGGAGTTATGTCCGGTCCTATTACCGGTAACCGACGCGATATCTAGAGCTGGCCCTAACACAAACACTCCCTAGCCTGTAGCCTCAGCCTATATCCCACAAGGAATGCAGTGTACGACCCGTGGAAGCAACGCTTTTCTGGTTACGAGTGAAAACGCGGTGTCGGCGGTCACTGCTCACACAACAACGATTAACACGCAACACAGTAAGCTTTCCGAAGACAACAGTACACCGCGACACCCCACGTTTTGAATATCTTAATATATTGGTGCACTCTATTTGACCTCTTGAACTAATATTATTACATCTCATTTGCATTCAGGTTGCTACGATAAGCTGACCAACAGTTGCAGACGAGAGAACGAGCCTTTCCCTTACCTGGACGAGACAGGTGTCGTTAGAGACAGGTGTACCTGCAGAATTGTCCCTGGGGCCAGTGAAATCGTCTGCTTCGGCAATAACCAACGTATCAGCTACGTCGCCAGGCAAGACTAGAGCAATAGGAGTGCTGTTGCGTCCCGAGCATGCATCCTGTTGTAGCCTTGATTTCTTTTACCCTTTTGATTTAGACGCTATCTTGTTTGTTTGAAGCATCTTATCCAGTTTTATTTTAAGAGAATATCAGTCTGCTTTCCTCTTCTTTACAGGAATGATGTTTACTGTTCTGCAAATGTTCAAACTTCGGTGGTCAGGCGTGTCACCACCACGAAACCTGGGGGGGGGGGGGGCGAGGGGGTGGAGAGAAACCTTGGGCCCCTGTATTTTGTCCAGTGGTGGGTTATGCCTTGTTTAAGTGCGCAATAATAATTATTGTAATTATTATTAATAATAATAATATTTATTATTATTAGTATGTGCTGAATGTCACACAAGGCTCGCAGTCTGTTTCTCCAACCCCTTTTATTGTGTACAATCACTTAGACATCATAGATGGAATCCAGACCAGCAACTTTGGCTTCTCTTATCAACGTTCGCCCAAGGGTTTCTCTTGGACGTCCTCGTTGTATCCATGTTCAGTACGCCTTTTAGTTGTGCATGCCTTTTCGTTGCCTTGATGTCCTACATAATATTCTGCTGTGAATTTGTTTCTTTCCTTTTATAGGTTGTCAGGTCAATATTCTTCATCAGCATTCCGAACCCTTGAGGTTCATTGCTGCAGATATCACCCGCCTCCATTCATCTCTCTGGTTGGCCTTCTGTTTCCAGTTGATAACAACAAGTGTTTGCAGGTCTGCCAGGACATTATCTCACTTTCGTCTTCTTGGTCTGCCTCGTGGTCTACTACCATTCAGATCCTTCTCTTATACAGTTTTTACTTCTCTGTCATCTGATATTCTTCCAATATGCCCCGACCATTTCAGTCTATTAGCTCTCATGATGCCAGTGATCAAAGGTGATTTAAACAGATTATGAATTTCTTTGTTGCTTCTCACTCTCCATTCCATTCTATTTGCATCTTTTATGGGTCCAAAGATTCGTCGTAAGTCTGTGTTTTCGAAAATGAATGGCATTTAAAAATAGATATATGACAATGTATCAAATGTAGATAATATCATGGAGACAATATCTAGACCAACTAACAAATATCGCTATCTGGATAGAAAAGGGCCAACAAGAGATGAATTGAGGCTGGCGATGTCTGCAGCAATAAACCTCACGGAATGGTAAAAAAGAAGAAGAAGCAGAAGAAGAAGAAGAAGAAGAAGAAGAAGAAGAAGAAGAAGAAGAAGAAGAAGAAGAAGAAGAAGAAGAAGAAGAAGAAGAAGAAGAAGAAACCATCCAATGGCATATTATTTTAAAATATTGTCATTATTAGCAACACCAAGTAGCAGCTGCTTTGCAGAACGTCGCTCTCATCACGGTCCTGCAAAACAACTTGATCTTTGGTCAGTTATCTTGCTTCAAGAGTACCCAGCGCAGAGGTGCCAGAAATCCCCCCCCCCCCCCACCCCGCCCCAGTAACTTTGTAAATCATCTAAGGTACGCCTTTCAACTGTATATAGAAATTTTCTTTAGTGTATTTTGTTATACATTTCCTATTATTTTAAGTATGTTGTTATATTTAGTTTTCAATCAGCACATTAATATTAATAATAATAATAATAATACTAATATGATGATGATGGTGGTGATGATGAATGTCAAATAAATATAATATTTGAAATAGTTTGTCGATTCCGGGGTCCCATTGTGAGAAAAACAGGATTCGACCCACTGCCTTTCCAAAAAGCGTATCGACTAATTGGGGGCTTTCCTCGAAGTCAGACTACATCTGTTTTAGAGACAAGGAACCAGCCGTCTCATACAGTTAAGCCAGATCTGTAAAACGGATGTGCACGTAATATTCAGGTTCTGGAACAAAACTTAAGTCCAGGAGTAAACCCGAAGAAGAAGATATGACTGACTGACTTTCTACCCTACCAGGACATCACACAAGCGATAAACACCCGATGACACAAGGTGCCACCATGCGGATGAGGATCGCCGTGGAGAGGTCCCAGAAACCGCGTTCAGAAATTTGGCCATATGTATGGCCTGCTCATATTGCGGCCCCTGGCAAAAGCCAGAGCGGGGCTTCAAATAACAAAAAATTAGGTCCTAAAAAGGACGTAAGGATATTGTCATAAAAGAAGATATGAAATGTCGCTCCCTAAGAGGAGGGAGCCATGAGCCAAGTCATCCCGCCCCTCCCCCTGCTCTCAAAGTTTTTCATCGCGGCGGTAAGCCTATCCCAGAGTATACAACAAACATACAAACTGTGATGTGTTTACTAAATCTGTGTTATTGGAATAGTCTCTATCGTCAGCAGTTAATATCTGGTATCTTTTTAAATAGGTTATTTTAAATGAGGTATTGGGGACGATCAAAGGTTTATCTGAATCTTTGTTTAGTTTGATATTTTAAATCCTCTCTATTCACAACATGTTTACAGTTTTCGCTATAGAATTCATAAAATTTCAATCAATAAAACTCATGTAATCACAATAATCTGTTTTCAGCACCAAGTATAGTTGTAATACGTTTTAAAATGTTTTAAAATTATTTATCTGACTTCTGTCCCTTGTCCGTATATATAAATATATATATCGCGATCTTTATGATAGGCATGAGAGAACTCACGTGGAGGTTGTGAACTGTGTGTGTTGATTTTATAAATTATAAGAGCAGTTCACTCCACAAAGTCAGAGGAGCAGCTGACTCCACAACTTTGGAGAGAAAGGACCCACCTCCAAGAGTCCCCGAGCTCGCCACTGTAGGGCGTTATCAGCGACCTCTGTTGACGTATGCGAGTAGAGGTTCTAGTCTAGGTGTTGCCAGGCTAGATTTGTGCAGCTATGTGTCACGCTGGGTGACGGAATCAAGTGTTCCTCTTGCCGCAGTAAAAAGGTTTCAGCGTGATGGGTTCGTGATGTGAGATTCAGGATATCTCAAGGTAACGTGACAAGTCGCAGACGGCAGGTCTGGGTAGTTTTCACAAGCTAGTGTGCATCGGGTCTGGATGGTCTCTGGTGACAGCATCTGCAAGATATAGGAGTCACTCGAGAGACAGTCGAGTCACGAAAAGGTGGATTTGCACGATCGGGTAATGATACCCCGTTGTAACCACCGCAACATAGTTATGACAGAAGATGTTCTTTAGAGCATCATCTTGAATGTGTACATGTGGCAGAAGGAATAACGGCTGTATTATTGTGTCAGTCGTATCTCGTGAAGCAACCAATTTCATGATGTCGGTGCCAATGGTGCCAATACAGTGTAAATTTCTTTCAGACTTCTTTTTATGAGTGCCTATCAATACATTGTCTGTTACTTTATTTATATGAATACAGTGTATAGTCTCTGGCGGTAAACCTGTGTTCAAATTCATCTTTTACTGTTTGGCGGAAGCTGTGACCTATAAGTCTTGACATAAATGAATAACCCTAGACCATTTGGCAAGTGGGCTTGTCAGAAAGGCCTAGTACAAGGTATGTAGAGAGCCTGGACATCACACGCGTCTGTGTAATCAGATCAGAAAGCCACCAAAACCGGCACAAGAAGACTACAATATTATGGACAGGCCAGAGCAAATCATTATTCTACGTCTTAGAACAGGATACAATCCACTTTACAACAACATGTACAAACAACTTAAGAGTTACGAATCAGCCATGTGTACATTGGCACCTGAGACAACAAATCATGTCTTCCAAGACTGTCCCAAATATAACACATCAAGGCCAAACTTTTAGCCAAGAAAAACACAAGTGCAAGCCAAACTTTACAAGTCGCTAAGTGAATGACTGTTAATTTCATACTAGAGACATTGTAGATATAATCTATTTCAAGCAAACGAAAGAAGAAGAAAAAATGACATCAAAGTTCGTCAGTTCATTCAAACTAAGATATGAAAACATGGCATGATAATTGGTAGAGGTGAATAATACACAAAACACATATAGTACGTTGCTTGGGACGAAGAGTTAGCGCAAAATCAGTGAGGTGCTTGTATCATAGCAACAAGATACAAACAGACGCCGATTTCTTCTCAAATTTAGATTAGTTTCGTTGCTTCTTCGTTACAGTTGCAGTCGGCACGGGACAGCTTTTTAGTATACTTACCTAAATCGAGGCGTTGCGTGCGATAAACAGTCATGGCGACCACCAACGAAACTTCCAACGCAGTGCTGCAGGGGCTCACACGATGTATGAATTGCTTGGGTGAAGAAGATCGAAACGCCCGCAAGAACTCATTAATTAGCATTAAAAAAGAGACTGTTGACAGAAAACCCGAACTAAAAGACTCTGAACTCAAAATTATATTTTCCGAACTATTAAAACCGTTGCTGAGAACGCTTTCCGATCCTGTGGAAAGATGTCGAGAACTTTCTGTGTCGATTCTTTTTGCATTTTTCAAAAAAGTATCACACCCAGAAGAATATTTATCGTATACAATTCCCGTATTTGTGCAGAGACTTGGGCAACAAGAAATTTTAGAGCCGTCCGAAGAAATTCGACTACAAATGGTAGAAGTCATTTCGTTTCTTGTTGAAACATGCGACAGTAAGATAGGCATATATATGGAGGATTGCATTCGAATTCTTCAGAAAACAATAGGAGATCCATTTGCAGACGTGAAAAAGGAGAGTTGCAGATGTTCGTCGCTGCTAGCTAAGTCATCTCCACAGTATTTTTACTTGCAAGCAGAAAGTCTGGTCAAGCCCCTGCTCTTGAATATAGCCCACCAACACTCAAAAGTCCGCCAGATCATTGTTGAAACAATTGGTAAGTTATATAGTAATACTAATGCATATCTTAGCTATCCTCCGAATAACAGTCCTAAATTAAAGCCGAACATATACCCTAACAGGGCCTCAGTCAGTGTAAATTGCAGACTTCCGGCAACTTAAATTGTGGACTTCCAGCGATTACCGCCACCGCAGAGAGTATCTCCCACACCGCTGCGCGTGGACCGGAGCTAAACTAGATGGCTGGGACTCACGAGCAGCAGCTGCCCTATCTCCTGCAGCTTTCTTCATTTTTTTTGCTCGTGAGTCCCAGCCATCTAGTTTAGCCCCGCTCCACATTTACATGTGACTGGGGCCCTTTAGGGTATATTTTTGGCCTCGATAATTTAGGACTGTTATTCGGAGGATAGCCCATATCTTAATTCTGTTTTAGTATATCACTTGCTTGGACTTACTGAGAAAGCTAACCTAGGAGAAGTGGGAGCTGCCGGCTGAAAGATGCAAATATCGCAGCCATGTTGTAAATGGGCACAACTAAGAGACCCTTGACAGTCTTTTGTCATGGCATGGAGGGTCTGCAGCTGGTGAATGCTGTTTGAGACTGCAGATTGAGGAGAGGCATGATTGCCCACCCCATTTGGCAAGGCACTTCATGATTATTTAACTTTGATATACACATGTCTTAATTCTAAATTTTGTATATTTGTTTTAAATTAGTATACACACAGTATATTTTTTAGTTTTAGAGACTTTTTTTTTCAAGGTCATTATCACATATAAAAAAAAAGCTTTTATAATTTTTGTGTTTATCTTTAAGGAATCCATAAAAAAGTTTTAATTGTGAAAGTTAACAGGGAATTAAAGCAAATGATCTGCCTCTTTTACCAGTGATTTTTCCAGTCTTCACAGTATTTTTCAATGCTCCTTTCCTCATCACATGACCAAAGAATTGTGTCTCCTTCTCATTGTTGAATATAATTTTCTGGAAGTCTAAGGTATTCGTTACATTTTTTTCTCAAGAACCACATCTCAGTTGCCTCCAGACTTCCTCATTTGTTTGCTCACATTCCAAGATTCACTGCCACACAACAGAACAGGCTCGATATAACAGTTCAGTACTTGTTTTCTGATGTTTAATGAGTGATTTATTACATAAGATACTTTGTCACTAATTATTTTACCATATCCCTTCCATCTCATCTCACTGATGCCCAGGATGTTGAGTTTCATCTTTTTCATTTCCTTTAAGACATTATCTACCTTCTCTAATTCTCCTAATATTTGAACATTCCAGGTTCCTATTCTAAATTTATTAGTCTTGCCCTCAGTAGTCTGATGGTGGTCTGGTGTCATCTATGGCTCATGACACTCCCTACAGGATGAGGCCATTTGAAGACATCCATCAACATCGTTCACTGAATTAAATCTGTGACTCTAAATGAATACTTTGGAAGATAATGTGGTGGTTTCCTGTTGCCTTCCACATGGGAGTCTTTTACCTCTGCCTTTGACAGTAATGTCCGACTGAGGACAAATGAGTGCCTGCTCTGCTCAGCTGCAGAGCTTTTCACTTTTTCAAGTGGATACTCTATCCCCAGAACCACACCTTGGTGTGTTGTTCATTCTCTACCGCGCGGAGGTGCAGTTGGGATTTCCCCTTCACTGAATTATGAGACCATAATGGCATTTCCCAAAAACTATCTGGTACTATTTACAGGATATATTTTCGATGGCTAACAATAAATTTTTTGTGTGGTTTTCCAACAGTAGTATGAGAGTTACATTGTGGAAGAGATTAGGGCCTCACCACACAATATTCCTGAGACAATAGCGGTCCACTGTAGCCAACCTTCATTGTGCAGACAGCACAGCAAAGCATTTTTTTTTCAGTTCTTTACCTAGTGATGAGGTGAAATAAAAATTTATAGTTTTACCCGGAAGGTTGGAGCCATTGAATGTTTAGTTTTTTTTCTTTGCAGTCAAGTTCATAAACCATACTACTCAGAATTATATAAGGAGAGGAACATTAAGAAATATAAATATGGAACATTTGTTTAAAAGAACAAAAAAAAAATAAAACATGCAGGGAAAGTAACAACAATATTGCAGTCTGCACATTCTGAACACTAATAGACAGGTTAAGACACACAAGAGTCCATTCTGATACTTTAGAGATGGCTCCTCTGCATTTTATAAGATTTGATGAAATGTACATTATGTTGGAGAAAAAGGTCTACAACAGCTGTAGTAAAGATAATACAAATGAAAGAACCATCTTGAATATCAATCAGAACAAAAAGTCCTGGCCAGGTAAAGTGAATATTAAACAAACCATAACATGAGTAAAATGATGTAGGAAAGAGATTCAGAACAGAATAGCCCCCCTTCCCCCCCCCCCCCCAATGTTAGAGGCTTGAAAGTATTTAATGTAACAATTTTTCTTTTTGTTTAGGATGTCACTGTGTAGGATATAATTAATATAAATTGTATAGAAATATTTAATGAACTAAAATTTATTTTTAGGTACTGTCTTGCAGTACAGCAATGGCAAAGCTGTAGATGATGTAATCTCACATTTGGCTCAACGTCTGTTTGATAAAGTGAGTGGCTTTTTTTCTCTTCCGTGTTATTTTTATTTAAGAACTTGCAGATGGTCTTTGATGTCCGGGAAAGGCTGCAGGAGTGACCGTAAGAGATATATTAAGAGAAAAACCTGGCATAGGATTAATACTAAATTACAAAGAAAGCAGATAAAATTGTTTGACCACTCAGAGAGCATGCCTTTTGATGCCATACCATACAGTACATATGCTGAAAAAATAAAATGGATGTAGATCCTGAGGTGGACCAAGAACAAAATGGAAAGATGACATCAGGGACACTCTACAACATGATGACATGCCTCTGATCAGGGCAGTCAGTAGAGCGTGAACCAGAGCAGTAAATTTTACTCAACATTTAAAGCAGTACAAGAGAAAGTAGAGAAGAAGAACAGTCTTTATTTAGAAGGTGGGGGGGGGGGGGGGGTATGCATTCACCCTACAAAAATGGTTCAGTAGATTGGAAAGAAGAGTAATGAAGGGCATGGTACTGGGAGAGGCAGGGGCTGACCAGCACAAAGGTGGCCACATAAGAGACGCCTTATGCTAGGAATGGTTTAGAGCTGGGGAGGGACCAAGTTTCTTTTAGGCGGGCCATGATAGGATCAACTTTCTGTACAATACCTGCTACATGATGTTGAGTTTTGTATGTGTTGACAAAAAATCTTATATATATATATTCCCTTGTTACCTCTGCCCTGAACTTTGTATTCAAAAAAATGATTCTAGCACTGGGGCTGCCCTGGTAAAACAGGCAGTTGCATTTGATCGTTGTTGAATTTGTACTTCAGTTATAAAGGATTCATTTATTTACTTCATTTATGTAATTGTTACTGTAGTATGCACCTGATGAAATACAGCAAAACATGCCTGGCAGTAAATTGTGCAATCTGTTATTTGTCTTCTTCATTCAGATTTATATATATTTAAATTATATATATATATATATTTGTTGACAAAGCCTGCAATGTACATGAAGAATACTTAGGTTCGATTCATATTATTTGCATTTACGATGTTATCATGCATGTGCTGGGGGAAGAGACATAGACTAAATGACATTTTTATTATTGTTGGCCTTTTCTTTCAGACACCTGCAGTGAGAAAGGCTGTGACTAAAGTTGTTGGTGGCTGGCTTCTGGACCTGCCTGATCGTTACTCCTACCACCACAAACTCATTCCTCTGTTGTTGACCAGTTTGTCTGATGAGCAGGCAGACATCAGAGAGCTTGCTGATGGTCTTTGGCATGATATTGGTTGGTTATGTGTCTTGTACAATGTGTCTGCACATGTGTGTGTGTGCACTGTTTTCTCCCCCCACTTGCAAAAGGTGTACAAAATCTCAATGTGGATTGAAGACCAACAGGGCAAATCCTGTATACCCTGTTCAACCTCCACAGAAGTGTAACTGGGGCACCAATAATGACCACAGCAAATTGGTATAGCCTGCAATCCAGTGGAGTTAGGGAATTGATCATGTCTGTGTTTTCTTGATAGCAAAGTTGATACTTTACTTGCTTAGTCAGAGATTTAAAAGCTTAGATTCAATCCACAGTTGTGACACTAGTATGATATGGCCTCAAATGAAAACCTTACACATGTAATTGATATTACAATAACTGTGCCAGTGTCTTGTAACCTGTTAGTATTGTTAAGGACATCAAGAGTGTTAAGCACATGACATTATAGTGCAGACAAATCTTTCAAAAAATGGTGTGACTTCTGTGACCGACTTTTTCCCACCTGGTTAGGTAGAGACCATTGAGTCAGTTTCAGCCATTTTGAAACGTATAACCTCCACTTGTACACCTGCTAGACTGACATAAATCAAAATACTGTGGCTTCATTTGCTAATGAATTTGTATAGGATAAGTTTAACCTCGTCACTATTTTTAAAAAAAATGTTCAACAGAATGCTAATCTTTGGTGCATGTTAAAAGTGGGTGGCCCTCTCTAAATTGCCATTATGATGTCACTATGTTTGTCTGTACCGTGATGTCACATGCTTAACACCCTTGGCATCTTTAACAACAGTATTGACAAGTTACAAAAACAATGGCATGGTTTTTGTAATTTTGACATTTAAAATTTTTATTTAAAGCCCCCTCATACATCTCCCCGAGAGCCACCATCGTGTAGCAGATAGACACTCACCTGTGGATTGAAAGAAGGTGGGTTTGCTTCTAATGGAGCCACACTAACAGGTACAGTCCTAGGAAGTAAAGGTGGCTGGGTCATGCCGACCACATCACCTACCTAGTGCCATTTGGTCTATAAAATATAGGTCTAGCCCTATGTGTCCACTACACACAGTGTGGAAAAGGGTCCTTTACTCTACTTTACATACATCTCTACAGTTTAAACAGCTTAAAAAAAAACACTTTTGCTAAATTTATTTATGGGAAAAGACAGTGAATGAGGAAAGGAACTGATCAGTTGTCTGGATCTGTAAGGGTCACCACTTCTATAATATTGTTTTTTTTTTTTTTTCCTATTGAATATTTGGTTGGAGTCCTTTGACAGTGAAATACCTTCAGCATATATAGGAATCTTAACATGTTAGATCTAGCCAGCTCATATTTGCTATGCTGAATCATGATCAAAGTCTAGACACATTTAGAGTTTAGAAGTTTCAGTAGATATGGGAACACTCGTACAGGACAAGGAGATATTCTGAAGACCATATATGAACAAAAGTTGATAGAAGACATGAGATTAGATAAAATAACATGTGTAAGAGTGTGTGAATGAGGAATTAGGAGTGGATCTGGCAAGGACGGATGTATGAAAGGAAGAGAACGACTTGAGTATAATCGGTGGAGATGGAGCATATGAAGGTATGCCCGGTGTGCCTCGATGTCAGTTCTTAAATCAGTAATCAGGAGTTTCAGTGTAGGTCTTAATATTCAACTAGTTTCAAGCTTGTGGAGGTAAGGCAAGCTGTGCAGCACAGACCCCTTTTAAAGGGTATTTCCCGTCTCTCTAGCGTAGTTGGCTAAACCGGATTGCGCTGTGAGCGGGTGACGAACTTCTTGTGGTCCGGGTTCACTCCCAGGGGTGGGCAGAAAAGCCACATTTCTCCCAGATTTACGGCATTTAAAATGGAATCAAGGCCGAAAGGTTGCGATATCCATAATACCGAGCCTAAGGGTTAACAACTCATGGCTTCTGGATACTAAAACAAACAAACCCAACAAAGGGTATTTTGGTACCATGTGAAGAGTAAAGTGTTAACATTGTTAGCATTGTTAACCCTTTTCATTGCTTTCTCAGATCCAAAGCTTTGGACTTAACCAAGCATGTTTTGAATCTCTATCTCTAAATCCTCTTCATGTCGCTGTTGACACATAAGACATTCACAAATGATCTCCATTGCTGCCTGTCAGCTGCTTTTCTGCCCATGGTATCCCATGTCAGTTTACGTTCCTTCCTTTTCCATTTTATTGTCCTTCTCCAGGTTTCCTTAGGTCGTCCACGTCTCCTTTTTCCATCTGCTGTCCACCGGAGAGCTGTTTTTGCCAGAGTGTCACAAGACATTCTGCAAATAAGTCCAAGTCATCTCTATCGTCTTACTTTGAAAACATTATATTTTGAATGATGCTTTTTTAAAAAATTATGTTTTATGAAATTATTTTTGTAAAGAGAACTATTTAGAAACACAACTGTAGCTGTTTATGTGTGTTTCCACATGTGTATATATCTGTGTGCATATGTTATCTGTAATTGAGTATATTTTCTCTGATACAGCAAGCAGTTTAAATTGCCAACATTATTAATTCTATTGTGAGACATTCTACATAATAAGTCAGAGGTGAAAAACAAATGCCTGAACTGTCAAGATATTATAATATTATATTGAATGGAAAAGATATTAGGTCATGGTCTTGTTTCATTCGGTAAACAATTTATTACTTTAGGCTTGAAATATGAACGAGAGAATGAAGAAGATCTAAAAGATAAGCTGGACTTCCCAGCCCCACAACCCAAGCATTATCCACCAGGGGGTAAGTCTCTAGAAGAATGTGTGTTAATTATAATAAATAGTGAATCAACAATCGCAACCTAATGCCAACAGATCAGATCTGCATCAAGTCAAAGATTATTTATTTGCTCCAAAATTGTCCTTGGCTTCCAGGTCAATGCAGCCTAAAATGTTCCAGGTTATGTCTTAGGAAATAAACATGGCTGGTGTGATATTGTATCATCCAGTGCTTGCTGACTGGCCTATAAACATCTGACTCTAGTATCCTGTGCCAGACATGTCATATGTGGCATAAAAAAGACTCATTTATTTTGCCTTACTCACAGCTCTTGGGTGACCCTGAAAGGTTAGTCAAGAGGATCAACTTCATTGCTTCAGGTTTTATCCCATATGGCTCGGCCTCTCTGCAGAAAGGCTGGCTGCCTGCTGAGAGAGCCGCACAGAGCACGATCTCCGTAAAAATTGCACCCGTGAACTGAAAGTTGCAGCCGTGAAATGAACCTAGACCTTCAGAGCACAAGGCAAGCGGCTTGACCACTTCACCATGGAAACCATAGAAAAATGGGTACTGGACAATTTTTAGAACTGTCAAGAAGGAAAAGGTGACAAGGAAGGGAACTGACCTCCTCACTGTGTATGTTATAACCTAGACTATGTGATGGCCTGATAGTTCACAGCCTGGCGACAGTGACTACTATGGGACTACTTAGCCTTTTTTTTTTAACTTTAAACAAACAAGAGTATGCACCCTGTGAGATAAAGCCAAATTATGTAATTTACAATTTTTAGTGTTTAACCATTTAACCCCTAAAACTCTTTTTTTTTTAAATGGGTCATGACCCCGTTAGCATTCCTGAAAAAAAATCTGTAAAAACAACACTTTTTACACAGGTTCCTAATAGATTATTTAATTGAAAATTATTCATTATTTTAAAATTATTTTTCAAAATTTATAAAGATGTATGAAAGAAGAATTCATTAAATACAAACTATGTAAAGTATTAAATTGAATACATACCCTGGGGCCTTTTAAAACATGCTACAGTTGACTCATGCCTAACCTTGTGACCTTTACCATTGAGGCTTATGAAAAAATCTAACGTCATGTTGATTTAAAAAAAAAATTCTTATTTAAAAAAAAATCTAGGAAATTACTTATAGAACTAAAAATATTACTAAAAATGTTGCCACCACCCTGGCTGTTACGATCGGCCACCATGATCAGAACATCTGTCTAATGCGTCACTGACATGGGACTAACTATACTAATTCTTGAAATGTTACTATACGCATTATAGAGTTGTTTCTCTTTAAAAGCAAAACCACAGAGAAATAAATGGACCCAGGGCTATTCAGTTGCGTTTACTAAGGAAACAAAATGTTTGAAAATAAAAGTCGTTGCAGGCCAGAGACTTGAATTTAAGCTTAAAAAGATCATTACTACAATACACATCTGGCCTGGGGGCCGTCAGTTGAATAGTCCTAGACTAACAGTTTTAAGCTACATTGATTGCAAAAGTTGTGATTTTGCCATGTTGACAAGCGTCCAAAGTTACAAACACAGGGACAGCGATTTATGAAGCCAAGCATAAATGACGGCTGATCGCACTATCTGTGATCGTGTTTGTCAGTGATTAAGGAAGGGTTGAACTGGGAGCCATGATTATTTTTGAAAAGTCCGGCTGTGTTCAGATTTTAACCCATGACCTTCAGGTCCGCAGGCAAGCATTTAGATACAGCTAAAGTACAAATATTTTATGAAAGAAAGTATTGAAGTACCAATTTCCTGGGACTGACAGAGTCAACAGTTTCAATTTTACAATCACATACACTAATGTTGGGTATGAAAATGTCATGATGACAATTGATTTTGTTCATGTTTTACAGTTGAGAGACCGACCTTGGGCTGTAGAGTCTTGGTGAATCGTCACCTGTCCAAGATACTACCAGGTCTGGTGCGGGACTTGAGTGACTGGGTTGTGGAAACCAGAATAAAGTGTGCATCACTGCTGTACTGGCTGTTGATAAATGCTGAAGAGTACACTACTCAGCATGTTGAGATTCTGCTGAGTGGGCTGTTCAAGGCCGCGCTTGATGAAGAGCCGGCTGTTGTCAACGATGTGAGACATGTGTCTGTTGTTAGTTCGTCTTTCTGCCATGATAGAAAATGTCAAGTCAGATAGCATCATAGAAATCCTGATGAAATATTACAACTATAGCTGCAGCCTTTTCTTCCTGTTCTTCTCCATCATCTTCCTTCTTCTCCTCCTTTCTTCTTCTCCTCCTTTCTTCTTCTCCTCCTCCTCCTTCTCCATCCGTTCAGACTGTCAACATCCCCTAATGAATTTGACAGTTGTGTGTATTTTTGTATGTGGTAATTCCATATAGCTTTGAGTTTAGTATGGAGATATTTTACTAGCATATCATTGTCTAGTGTGCTCACAGAGGGTAGTTCTGCAGAAAATGTTGAATAATTTATTTGTTAATTCATCTGAGCCCAAGTATTTGAATATATGACCACCTAAGAAGGCATAAAGGCTAGCTACGACTTCATAAATGTATAATGTTATGTAAAGATAAAAACTGGGAAATTATATATGATATATGTATGAAATATATATTGTTTGTATCTAGGTTAAAAAGTGCGGTGAACTTGTTGGATACTTTGTGCAACCTGACATCTGGAAAAAACTAGTGCTAGTGGCATTGAAGCAGTCTCTTTCCCATGGAGTGGTCATGACTTTGGCGGCCATTGTGAGAGGCAGTGAACATGATGCTCTTCTCGATCATCAGATTGATCTGGCAAATTCTTTATTGAATCCTGATATCTGCCAGACGGTCGACGCTAAGATGCACATCGAGGTAAGACACAAGAAAACTTTCTGCAACTAATTAATTTTATCAGGTAATCGCAGATTCACATTTTACGGTAAACTGGCCACTTGATAGTTTCTCTGTGAAAACCACACAGAATACCCATCCTTGCGGGAAAAATGTACCCAGACTGCAGTCTCTGCAAAGCCAACTATCAGAAGTGCCAATGCAAACAGTCTGGCACAAGAACAGCAATTTGTCTTCAGTTTAAGCAAATCAGTGGTTGCACACGCAGCTCGGAAAGGATTAGCAAATGAACAATATTTCAGTGCTTCAAAGACCATAGCTGAACATTTTTGATTTGTCTGGTATTAGACTTTGGCTCAGTCTCATTATAACACAGTCAACTCATTCTGTTGAATGTTAAATTAAGAATCTACATCACAGCACTTTGAACACTCCCATAAGCGCTCCATCCCCATCTTTAGCAGCAAGCGAAGAGGTAAAATTCTGATGGTACCAGTAACTGTCTGATTGTATATTTATTGAGCGTCAGTTAGATCCCCTTGTCATTAACTTATTCTATAGCAAGACACTTACTTCTCTTTGTTGGTTAGGGGGCATCGTGTTTTTTGAGGGTTTTTTTTTTATAAGGGAGAGAATAGACTCACTGCCCCTTATGAAATTGAACGTGTTGTTCCTAAAGGCACAGATATTGCGTCCTGGCTATAAACCACAATGAGCTAACTGTTTTAAAGGGTTATCGCAGAAGGAGAAGAGGAAAGTATCAAGAATCTCATCAGTTTAATTTCTGTCATCCTGGTAAGTTTTCATGCTTATCCGTGCTGCCTAGTCACCACTGTTGACATGATTTGCCCAGTAAAGTTGTATTTTTAGTGTAAGTACTATTTCCTACTCAGCTTGACTGAAGAGGATTGCTGGCAGAAAAAGAAGGTGATAACTGGATGGCATCCACACTAGTTTTCTTGCTGGCTCATTTGATAGTGATGTGGTTGTTATAAATGTTTGGCTTTGACATGTGAAAAAATTCTTAATTTAATTCAATTTGGTATATCATTTTATAAGGTACATCTATAACATATAAATTCACATATTTTACTATTTTAAAACCTGACACATTTATTTAAAAAACCACACTGGAGGATACAGTAAAAAGAAAAAGATAGATATGGAGGTGGTAAGTGATGATGCATATTAGATTGTAACAACAAGAGACACATTTCTGCACGTTATGCTAGTGTTTTGGGAAACGAAAAGTCAGATAGACTTGTGTGAACTAATGCATGACAAGCTAGATGTTGTAAAGGTCCTTTGGGAGTGAGGGAACAGTGTGGAGGCAGAAATAGATGATCACACTGTGGAGAATGATGCTGTGAGGATTGACCCGGGATCTGGCCAATGCTCAACAATCAAAGCAAAGACAAGATGGATATACATTTAGACTGTTACTATCATAACTGGAACTCTACACTTGCTGCTAAAGATGGGATCGGAGGATTTATGGAAATGTCCTAAGTGCTATGATGCCGGTTCTCAATTCAGCATTAAAAAATCAACAGACGTATGAATAATCCAAGAAAGTGCACCACCAGAACATGTCTTGAAAGATCCATTTGAGCCAACCTTTATTATAAAGCCTACTTGATTTGTTGTTGTTTAAATGTATTGACCGCTGCAAGAAATAAATAATAGAGTTCTTTGAGTCCTCCTTCTTCTTCTTAGCGCTCACTGGCTGTAAACTTCAGCGGAAAGCTCTGGTTGTTTGTCCACTTCTGGAATTTTTTGTTCCAGAACTTGAATTCTGCGTGCACATCTGGTTGACAGATCTGGCTCACTTTGCTTGCAGGCTGTTGGTTCCTTGCCTTTCAGGCTGATGCACTCTGACTTCGGAGTGAAAATCTCTAATTAGTCGCTTTTTACAGCATGCTTTTCAGGGAGGCAGTAGGTCTATTCTTCTTTCCCCCCCCCCCCTCCCCCCCTCTTGTGAAATGGGGTTCTGGAACCCACATGGGGACCATGACAGTTCACTGTATGGGATGTGTGATCTGATGGGGACCATGACAGTTCACTGTATGGGTTGTGTGATCTAATTAGATTACAAACATTGCAGGTCATTACATTATGAGCTAGAGGTGACCAGCTTACCTTAGTCTTGTATTCCCTAATTTCAGATCATCAGCTTCTGTTCATCACTGCTGTCCACCATGGAAACAGACATCCAGGCTGTTAGTCAGCAGCTGTTCAACCTGTTAATTACTGTCGTTGCCCTGTCACAGAATGAGGACAGCATCAGCTCGGTATGCTTTTTATATACCATAGTGTTACAATTGAAGTGTGTGTCTTTTTTGGAGTGAATAATTATTTCGTTACATAATATATTAGCAATGTGCTCTACTATTTGCTAAGCTGTAAATAATTTTTGTAACCTTCATCATACATTTAGTAAAATAAAAGTCATTATGATTGTTTGTCCTGCTGATTACTATAGCGGATCATTTTTCACTTTTCACACAATCAGAGTTCAAGTGAGTATGCTTGTTGCACCCCATCCTTGCAGCCAAACCATCCAGATATGTATCTCCTTGTCTGCCCCTTTCTCTTTTTCGGTCTATCTTGCCTGCCATCATAAGTTCTCTGCTGCCCTAACAAGCATGTCATAAGAGATGGTTAATTGGTTTTCTTCTACATGATTGTCAGTTTCTGCGTATGTATCCCTAGCATAGCACTGTATCTCCTAAAATGCCACAGTGGCACAGGAATCTTTAACCTAGTAAATATTATTGCATTTCCAGGCCAAGTTATGCTTAGATCAACTTGCCAAAGCACAAGGATTAACTGACAGAAAACAGCTTTTTGAAAACTGTACCAAGCCTCTGATAGATTCTTTTGGACAAGGAATCGAACTTTGGACAAATCACTCGGCAGAGAGACAGATCTTTGATACTTTGTTAGTTGAAGCAGGTAAGAGAAGCATTACAATAAGAATCACCACAGAAATCTGAGATGTCTCCATTTTTATAAACTCAAGTTGATGTGGCAGGTCTTGGTCAGATATGACTGAGTTACCGTGTAACAGTAGCCAGTACTACCTGTCTTCTGTTACACCGAATGTTAGGTAGCGTATACCAAACCTAACATCCCATATTGTGCAGATGGCTTCAGGTGAAGAGGCCCATTAGAGAGGACACTAGCCTCATCCTAGGAAGAGGAAATTCAACCTGAAAACTTGATGTTTTGGCAAGGCAGATCTGGCTATTAGCCTTGGCTGGCAGCTGGTCTAAGAGGGAAACTCTGACAGGTGGACAGATTAAGAACTGCTTTTCTGATCCAGCAGCTTCTACAGCCTGCTTTGTTCCAAACGTACTGGTGTTAGTTTTTCTTTGGAGTAAACAAAGCAGGTCAAGAGATGGATCATGATGCACGGGCAACATATGGTCTCTACAATACTGCCCAGGCTTTGTTCTATGGAGAAGATGAACTTCATCCCTGGCCTTCATTGGTCTCGGAAACAGATACTGACCTTTTCCTAGTTGCTACAAGAGTTCAGATGAAACCCAAAAGAATTTTCAATTCAAAAAACAATTATATCCCCAAGTTAAATATTTCCAAAAACTAAAGACTCTGAAAAGTGTTTTGAGTTCCAACAGCAGCTCAAAGATGCTTTCACTGATATCCAGGATAACTCTACAGCAAGCCTTTAAAAAATAAGACCAAACAACTGCATCAGTTTATGGGATTAGAGAACATAGAAGTAAGGACTAGTTTGAAGCAAATAGCCAGATACTCAAACCCTTAATTGCAGCAGAAAGTTAATGCTCCTCAGAATCAAGGAAAGAACAAGGATCACTCTCACTGAACTGAGAGAAGCTAGAAAACATTTGCAAAAGGTAGCTAGGCAAAGTGGCAAGGATTACTGGATCCAGTTATGTGAAAGCATTCAAAATGCTAGCAGTAGTGGTACTGTTGGAAAAGCACTTGCCAGAACTGTTCTGCAAAGACACTAGAGCCTAGGAGACCAGGCTTAACCAGAGTCACAGTGTGGCTTTTGTAGGAACCAGTCTACCACTGATACAGTTGCAGGAAAAATGCCATGAACAAAATCAACCACTGTATGTTGCTTTCATTGATCTTATCAAGGCATTTGATTAGGTTAGACGAAAAGGTCTGTTTCGCACACTGAAAAATATTGGGTGTCCACCTACCCTTATTGAGTTTTTATACACGGATATGAAAGGTACAATCAACTTTGATGGTGTAATATCGGAGGAGTTTGTAATCAACAAAAGAGTGAAGCAGGGGTGTGTACTTGCTTCTACCCTCTTTGGAATATACTTCCCACTTCTTTTAGAACATGCCTTTTGGAATCAAGAGCGTGGTGTATATTCACCCACTCTCGATCAGATGGCAGCCTTCACAATGCTCGTAGGTTGAAGGCCAAAACCAGGATAAGAATCGGGATAGATAAGGCAGCAACAACAATGAGCAGATTAACAAAAAGAGTTTAAAAAAAGAGAACAGAAAACTCATTATTAAAATAAAAACTCTTGTCTGTCAGGCGTGTGTTCTCAGCACTCTGCTTTATGGCAGTGAAACTTAATCAGCTTTTTTGCCTAAGAAAAATACTTGGCATTAAGTGGCAGGAAAAGATCCCAAACCCTGAGGTATTGGAAAGAGCAGGTATTATAGCAGTCTTCTCAATGCTCAGTCTACGAAGGCTCAGGTGGCTGGGTCACACCTGGAGAATGGAGGATGGCAAGAGTCCCTAAGGACATCCTTTTTGGTGAATTAAAGATGGGTAGAAGATGTCGAGGTAGACCTCTACTGCAATATAAAGTGTGCAGGTGGGACTTGAATGATACAGGTATTGAGGTGGACTCATGGGAACAAAATGCCATGGACAGTGTTGTGTGGAAGGGGCACATCAGGAAGGGAATGAGAATGAAGGAAGAAATAATTAAAAAAGCATGAGAGCTGAGCGTCCGAGATGAAACAGACTAAACACAAATGTTCACAACAATGGTCTGAAATCCCTTGCTAGTCCTACTCGCCATGGCCATGGGCTGTGAGTCCATGCCTTCACACAGTGCAGTATAACACTATCGCCTGGAAAGATGGAAAGATGCCAGTCAGTCAAGTGGATGTGGCAACTATGTCCGTTGTCGGCCAGTTGCTATCTCAGTGAATGTGATGGATCCGTTACTTTTCCCAGGCACTAGATAGCTGATGTGACAAGCCAGATGTTTGCGGCTTGCACTGTAATGTTTGTTATGAGTTATCTCCACTTGATAAAGGGCTCTTCAGTGGTTAGTTGGTGTTGCAGTCCTTTGTTTACATTCTGACTTTCCATGCTCCTGTTTACATTGGAACTGTTGAAAACTATTTTTTGTTTGATAACCATTCTGAAATTACTCAAAACAGCAAATTGTGCTGTCTGTTCAGAGTTCACAGTTGGAAAGATACGACAATAGACAGCATAAAGACTGACTGAAACTTTCATTCTTTAGAAAATTTTTAATGAGCACAAATGGTTTTTTTTATAGACAGAAAATTTTATACTCCCTTCTTCAGAAAAGTTAAGAATAAAAGAAGATTAAATTTTTTACTGAAATACCTTCGATTTATAGACTATACCTTCTTACTCTGGGGGGAAATATTACTACAGAAGCACTCCGGCGCAACTAAATTACTTAAGGGGTTAAAGGTTTTTTTATATAAGTTCTTTATCGTTGAGGCTTATGAGAAAATTAGACAGCAGCTTAGCTTTATAAAAGCTTTTTGATTCACTGGAACATCCCCAAATGCTAATTTTAGCTCATATATTCATATCTTACCTCCTCAAATGTTGCCTAGGTCAGTAGCATAAACTGTGCATAAAAAGTGCACTGAAGACAGGTTGAAAAAATGACATTTACAGCAACTTGGAACCAGCAACAAGTGTTGGTTCTGCTGTTCCTCTGGACAACAAGGGTAAATATCTGAGAGAACTCTGTGACGAATGTTGCTGAGCAAGGCCAAGGGACAGGACTGGATTCCATCCATAATATTTAGAGCAGTGGATCTCAACCTTCCTAATGTGGTGACCCTTTAAATGCTGTCGCTTACCCCCAAGCAGACAATTATTTTCGTTGTTACTTTATAACTTCAATAAATATGTTTTTTTCCGATGGCTTTGGCGACCCACAGGTTGGGAACCGCTGATTTAGAGGATAGAACTAAATGGAAGACTAGACTGCAAGCCCTAGGTGATATATAACGGCACCACATGATGATGATCCTAATTATCTTTAAACATTTATTAGTTGCATATTTTGATTTGATATAACTTCACACAGTCTTTCTCTCTCTGTGAAATTTTCTCATCACACTTAAACTGTTTCCTTCAGGTCCAGTTGTTGGTGGCTACTTGGATGACATCATCCCCATCCTTGTCACAAACCTGAACCCTAGTAAAGATCCAGAGTTGAGGCTGAAGTTCTTCTCTCTGCTCTCACACCTCATCCTGGCTGCACCGGCAACTGTGGACTCTGAACACCACTTTGCTGATTTCGCTGATATTGTGGTGAGAGATATGATCTTGCCAAACTGTGTGTGGAAAGCAGGAAAGACTGCCGGTGCTATACGTACTACAGCCATATCTTGTATGTGGGCTTTACTGCAGAGTGGGTTGTTAACCAGAGAGAAGGTATGGAATATGTGTATATAATAGTGCTAATACAGAAAGATAAATATTCGCTTCCAAATATTTATCTAATGTGTTCTGTCTCTCTTCTTTTTGTGATTACCAGTCAGCACACGTCAACTGGTTTATCAAACAGAGAGAAACAAAGAGTGTTAAAGTGCTATACAAATCAGTTAGTTTATTAAAACAGAGAGAAAAAGTGTTATAGTGCTACATAGAAACTGTATTATTGTACTAATTGAAGCGTGGATAATGAGGAAACAAGCTGAGAAACTTCTGATAGCTGCATAAATATGCTTTTTATTTTTAATGGAAAAAAAGAGGGGGGGGGGGGGTGGGGGTATCTCCCTGGTGAAGTGGTTAAGCCTTTTCCCTTGCACTCTAAAGGTTGTGGGTTTGTTTCATAGATATGTCTATCAGTTTACAAGTGCAATTTTAAGAATTGTAGGGATTTTTGTCAGAGCTGTTGAGTTTACGCTTTCAGTAAGCGGCTAAAACTGATTAGAGAAATAAGACAGGATCATTTGGACTTGTGAGGAAAAATCAGCTTGAAAACTTATGATAATCAGCAAACTTGATGGAAAAAGAGTTAGGGGGGAAAAAAACAAGATCAAAAAAGTATCAGGAAAAACAAATAGGTAAATACCCATATGACATGACCAACACAATTTTAATGATTTTGAAAACAAAAGTTCTAAGGAAATCTATGAACATTAAAGAGATGAATAAAGAAAGCCAAAGAAAGAAGAGAAATGTCTGGTTAGCCACTTGTATCAATGGTTATAAAGAAGATGGCAGTATACTAAATACATCATAAGAAGTGGACAGATAATCGCTAAACAGGCAGTGAAATGAGAGGGAGGGGAGGCAAATGGCTTAAGAAATGAGGACGTGTAAGAGAAACCCTAAGACATATGTTGTTGAGGGAGGCCAAATGTGCTGGACTGGATCACATCTATAGTGTCAAAATGATTGCATTGGATAGAGTGGAGAAGGGAGCACAAGCCTGTCAGAACTGTGTAACTTATAATGGCACTACAGGATGATTATGATGGCATGACCACATGGCATAGCAGGACAAGAACACCTACCAGATCCAAGACTGGTGATCATGGATAGTGGCAAAGCATGACCGCCTATGCTCGTTGGCATGGTGCATAATGATGATGAACAATGTGAATTATTTTTTACGGTTGTCATGGGGTGAGATGACTGAAGATATAATATTGCACATAGATGCGGATTAAAAAGTGCGGCTGTATGGCTTATAAGTCATTCTTGAGGACAGTGGTAGGAATCTTATCATCAAAGAGATTGGGGCCTCACCGCATAATATTCCAGAAACAGCAGTCAGGTGCAATGTATCCAGCCTTCATTGTGGAGATGGCACACAGTTTCTGTTAACAGTATATTAAATATAATGCACACACTTACACTGTGCGCCCCCCCCCCCCCCCCCTTAAAAAAATGAATGCAAAAATTGTATAAGATGCACTTATGAAACCAGACTTAATAAAAGCTTTTAAAAACTACAAATGGAAAGGGAAGATACATAAAAATGTTTCTTGGTAGTTCACTTACATATTTCTTTTTACCATGGAAATTATGACAGTGGACAATTGGTATCATTTCATATTTTGTTTCTAAGATGATGCCAGTGGTGGAGTCAGTCCTCACTCAGCTGACAACTCTCATTGAAGACGACAACAAAACCACACGTCTGGTTGCATGCCGGGTTATGACCAGGACCTTTGACCTCATGGGGACAAGTCTTGATCAGGATAGGTTACATAATCTGTATCCAGAACTGCTGAAGGTGTGTGTTTACAGCTTCTCTAGCATTTACATTGGGATGCAACACCTGTAGCATTCACACTGTCACAATACCACATTATATCTAATGTTCACACTGTGACACAATGCCTCTAGCATTCACACTGTGTCACAATACCACATTATATCTAATGTTCACACTGTGACACAATGCCTCTAGCATTCACACTGTGTCACAATACCACATTATATCTAATGTTCACACTGTGACACAATGCCTCTAGCATTCATGTTGTGACACATTACTACAATATTTCTAATGTTCACATTAAAATATATAATACACTGTAACCTTTGAGCTTATTTATCATTATCATCACCAAGTGCCTAGCAGACTAGCATGGCATGGTGGTTCTCCAATTTGATGATCTCAAACATAATTTATTAAATCATGTACTGTTTTAGTACCATAATGAAGTGCTGACAATTATTCTTCTTTGTCTTCACCAGCTGTAAACTCCTGTGAACAATTATGGTTGTTTATCCATTTCTGGAGTTTGGCCTTTTTCCAAACCTTGAGTTTTGTGTGCATCTCTGTTTAACAGATCTGACTAACCTGTATGCAGACTGTTAGTTCCTCATCTTTCATGGCAGATGTACCCAGACTTTGAAGGAAACATCTCAAATAAGACTACTTGCACAACATGGGGTAGCGGAGGTCCTTATACTTGTCCCCACCCCCCAAATGGGGTCCAGAAACTCATACAGGGATGACAAGAATTGTAACTAATGGTCTTTCTGTTTCTCTCTTTAATATCTTGCTGTTAGCAATATTTTCAAAATTCAGTATAAAGATAGGCATGGTAACATTCGGACCTAGTGAAGGAGTAGCTTAAGCAATTACATTTCTCTCCATAGTCACATTGTTTATCTATTGAATGTTTTCAGCGTCTTGATGATAGCAGTGATGACATAAGATTGACTGTGACTCACACAATTAAGGCCTACTTTGACTGTTTCCAAGAAGGCTATGATGTGAGTTTATACAGAGCGCACCTGGAAGCTATTTATCGTGGTTTGTTGGTTCACCTGGATGACCCGGAGAACAAGATACAAGAAGCTGTTTTAGGTAATTGTCTTATTTAATAAGCCACTTCAATTGAATGTAAGGAAGAGAATAGTTAGATGTTATCTAAAATTGTACTGAAATATTTTTAAAACCTGTGTTTTTACATGTCAGTAAATCTTGGAGCATGAGCAGAATTAGAGAGAGCTTGAAGGCAGCAGAGTTGTAACCCCTGAGATAAATGTCATAATTACTTTGAATAGCTAGAGTAACTAACAGCGATTGACAAGAATTTGTGAACGATAAATACAATAGTGGTTTTCCCTTGCTTCCATTTTAAATGAGCGGCCTGAAGTATTTGAAAGAGACTAAGACATTTAGACAATTTATGAAAATAAAAAGAGGCATTCATCAATTTTGGCCACTCTATTAAAAGAAAAGAACAAACAACTGGACACATTTGAAAGAGAGAAAGAGAAAGGCTATGAGAGAGGTTTCATGAATGTTTTATCCTGGCATGAAAAAGTGGCAGAACCTAATTTGATAGATACTGGAGATTGTAAGATAGGGTGAAGCCTACAATAAGGCAGTTATAATTTCATTGAAATCTTGCATTTAATATTAAGATAATTAAAAAGGCCTTACATTAATGAAACATATAGGAATGCTGGAGTAAAGCTTAAATGTAGTTATTTTCACTAATTTTATCTTGATTCAGTAGCTATATTACATTTCTATAGACTGTTCTCATTTTATTTGATTTCTTTGTATGATTATTGATGGAGCTCTTCGTAATCTAGTGTATTCTGCTGTAGCCTCCCGATTTAATTGTCCTGTTTATTAATTAAGTGAAAATTTTAAGAGGATCTGATAGGGCTTTCATTTGATGTATGGGAAAGCCCATACAGCTAAAAACTATTGATGAACCAGATGCAAAAGAACTGTCAGTTAATTGGTTGAACTTTAAGGTATTCTTGCAGTTTGAACAATTTCACTCATGAAATTAAATTACAAAGATTTGAATGTCAAAATGTTGTTCCTTTCAGTGACTATGGGATTTTTGTTGTGTGTATTATTGTATATGTGAAAGTTCTAACAAACACATCTATCTTTTTTAAGATCATCTCATATTTTTAACATCTTATCCTTGAGAATATCTTATTTGTTACCTGTACATTCCTCAGATGTGTTGAATAAAGCTGCAGAACTAGCCCCAAACATGTTGATCAGGGAAGTGGAGAGTGTCAAACACAAGCATCGCAGCACCAAGTACTGTGATCAGCTGATTCAGAAGGCACAGAAGTTAGCAGCCAAGGAAGAAAACTAGCATATGTAATTTTACTGCTCTTGCAAATGATATTTGTATGTTCAAAACTGAAAACTGTGTAAATAAATGATGCTATTCTTATTTTAGATGTTTGAACAGTTCTAAAGTGACTGCATTATATAATATGCTCAGTAATAAGAGCTAAATAAAAGTATTAATAAACATTGTTTTTGTTTTCTTATAATTTAGCACTGTATTTAATCTCAAAATTCTTAGTGTCTCTTCAGATGTCTTTACATATGTGATTTATATATGTGACAAAGAAAAAAGTATATGCCAAGACCTACCTGCCACAAAAGTGAACAACAACAAAAAACACATCATAAGCCAATTATAACTGAGGCTTACCAAGGAGCAGCTTTAGCCTAGTCATAAACATTAGAACAGTAGAATGGATAGAATAGCATACTTGGCATGATGATTCTGCCGAAAGTGAGCAGATAACACTTAATGTGTGGTTGTGTGGGGGGGGGGGGGCAGAAAGACGGACGGACTTTCAAGCTGATTACCACCATCAGTATAGAAACTCAAGCTACCAAAAGAATGGGGCAGAAGTGGCACTATCCTTAGCGCAGTTATGTCGTCAAAGCAGATTATAAACAGCACATTCATACCACCATCATTGAGCTAACAGTGCCATACATGGAATTATCTAAATCTCATATACGCAAAATTGCTTACGAGATGAGACGCCTGAGAAAAGCGGCCACCCTAACCATCTGAGAACGAGTGAATAATGATACTGTCAGTCAGTGGGAACAAAACCTTGTGATATATTCATCTCTCTCTCTCTCTCTCTCTCTCTCTCTCTCTCTCTCTCTCTCTCTCTCTCTCTCTCTCTCTCTCTCTCTCTCCCTCCCTCTCTCTCTCCCTCTCTCTCTCCCTCCCTCCCTGCTGTGCACTGAATTATCAAAATGTCTTTTCAATGTTTCTGCTGTGCACTGAATTACCTAAATGTCTTTTCAATGTTTCTGCTGTGCACTGATTGATCAAAATGTCTTTTCAATGTTTCTGCTGTGCACTGAATGATCAAAATGTCTTTTCAATGTTTCTGCTGTGCACTGAATTATCAAAATGTCTTTTCAATGTTTCTGCTGTGCACTGAATTATCAAAATGTCTTTTCAATGTTTCTGCTGTGCACTGAATTATCAAAATATCTTTTCAATGTTTCTGCTATGCACTGAATTATCAACATGTCTTGAGTATTTCTGCTAGTTGTAGAATTTTTTATTTCTCTGTATTTATCACGGACCTGCCCTCATGTCACCGGTGCATGAGAGTTCCTCCCCCTCCAGTTCATGCCACAGCCGTTTCCATGGCCTGTGCTATGTTGTGGGGGTGTTATGAGATGGCTTCGTTCGGCGTATGAGTTATGATTTGGGTTATCTTCACAGCACTCCGGACATGCCCATAGGTGCTCAGATTACCCCTTCGACATATGCATCAGCGTCCCGTGGTTGATGGTCGCAGTCCTATGTTGATTGACAAGACTTCTCCTGCGTCTGGTATGCTTCTCTTGCCTGGCTGTGTCGATCTCATCTCCAAGTTCTTGCACTCTTAGCAAAGATGTGGATGTGCTGCTCCCAAAATCGTCCAAACGTCCTGCCTCTCTAATGACATTTAAAGTGTCAGCATGATCCATGGGCCGGCCCTCTGTAACTAAAGCAGAGCCGGCTAATCTGTCGGCTCTTTCATTGCCAACAACATCCGCATGCCCTGGGACAAAGATAAAGGTAACTCTACGCAGGGGAGTTTTGCAATGACTCGATCCACTGTCTGCATACAAAGCCCGTCTTGTCCGGCTAGATCATACTCATAGAATCACTCAGCACACACACACGTGAGAATATCCCTGCGATGCTAGCCAAATGAAAGCTCATATTATCGCCATCACCTCCATTGTCATGCTGCTAGTTGTCAAACCGAAGGCACCACTTGCCTCCCCAACTGTTCTACCCGCAGAGCACGCAATAAATGCCCATGCACTTTTTTTGTCCTCATACAACGAACCCATCTGTGTAGATCAGTACATCCGCATCCGCCTCATCTGAATTTTCACATATAAGCGCGAAGACCTCTGCATTCTGCTTCCGACAGCTCCTATCAAGTGTGACAACACTGAAAAGGTTCCGTTGAGCACCTGGGGCACAAGTATACATTCTTCGCCGAGTTGGTGGATGTATGTATGCATATGTAGCTGTGTAAGTATGTGGGTGTATGTGTGTGCATTAAGTTATTTATACAAGTATATGTGTAAGTATGTATGCATGTATGTGGGTGTATGTATGTGTGATTGTATGTGAGTGTATATGTGTGTTCATGTGATTGTGGGCGTATGTGGGTGTCTGTATATGTGATTGTTTGTGTATGCATGCATGTGTAAGTGTGTATGTATGTCTATGTGTGCATTATGTGAGTATGTATGTATGTGTGCGTATATGTATGCAAATGCGTGTGTGTGTATTATGTATGTCTGTATATGAGTGTGAATGTATCAGAATGTAAGAGTATGTGTACGTGTGTGTATGTGTTTGAGTGAGTATGATTGTGTACACATGATGTGTGTATGCATTAATCTATAATATGTGTTTGAGTGAGTATGATTGTGTACACATGATGTGTGTATGCATTAATCTATAATGTATCTTTTTTTTCTATTATAAACATAACAGGCATTGGTACTCTGAAAGATGAGTGCTTAGAAGAGGCGAATGTCAGACGGGCCTGCGTACCCAATTTGTAACCCTTTGAAAATAAAGTTTGTACGTTCGCCCCCGCCCCCCCCCCGCCCGCCCCCTCCCCCATGTTAACTTTGTAATGCCGCATCCATATTCTTGTTAAGACGGTTCTAGTGTAAGCTTACATGTCTTTCCACAGATCTCCATCCTTGGTATTTTGAATCTGTTCCCCGTGATGACTTTCCACAACACGATGTTCTTTGATGCATCTCTTTCCATCACTTGACTGAAGAATACTGACTACCTCGTTCTTATAGGTGTATATAGTTTTTCTAATTGCGTTACCAACTTTCAAGTAGTTGTTGTTATTCACTCTGTCAATGGTATTGGCAACATGTGTAAACTCTGACCCAACGCTAACAAATTCAAAGGACTGCGCGCCGTTTACTGATCAGTGAGTGACCAATCAAAATGCAAACAGATCAGAATACTGCATGTGTATTCCAATTCCCCTGTGATTCACAGTCGTAGAGTCAACAGTTGTGATGATACAGTTCTTAAATGCGTAATGATAGACCTGTACGATGCTTAGTTACCATTACAATTACCGCAATCGTGAGTGTAACTGACTCAGAAAGCATGCTGAGCAGTGTTGCCACTTTTCTTTGACAAAAAATATCCAAAACGGTGTCAAAAAAATATCTAAAAAGATCTAAATCTGCGTAGAAAAGATCTAGAAAAACATCCAAATCGAAAAAGTCAAAAATTACAAAGCTTTTGTTATGACTTACCCTACATAATCATGTCCTCACCTTCACTGATGTCTGCCTCACAAGATCCACAGGATAAACTTAGCTTGGATAATGAAGTTGAAGCCTCAGATCCAAAATGACCCTGCTATGCTTTAGCTGTTCAAATTTCTTTATGAGTGGAAGAATAGGCTTATTTCTCTAGTCTGATCAGGCCGAATTTTAATGGCACGATAGCATTTAAGAGGTCAAATTTCATCCTGTTTTTTAGGTAAGATTTGAAATAATTCCTAGCACTTAAAACTCTTTCTACGTCAGCATCTGAGTGGGGTAGTATCATGGCAGACATGGCACTTTAAAGAGCTTACAGAATGGACTGTTTGATGAGGCATCTTCAAATTGTCTCACTTCACTCCAAAACGCTTTAGTTTCTGTTTTGTTTGTCCATTCAGCTAACTTTATTTTGGTTAACTGATATTCTGCTTCCGCGACACTGTTAGCAGTAGTCCCTAAAAAATTCATAACTTTACAATATTTAGGTATGTCATTTATTTGCTGAAGTATGTTGCTTACAGAAAAAAGTGAAATATTTTTCAAAACATCTAGTTTTCAGGAAGTCTCTGCTTCAATTGCTTCAATCATGAGATATGTAAATCTTGACAGCGTTTTCTTAAGTTGTTCTCTTTATTCTCTGTTCCCAGTCCTTTTGTTTTCAAATCATCAATTTTTGATTCGATTTAATATCCAAGGTGTGGCTTAGGAGCCAAATAGCTCTCTATAGTGCAAGTGAGCAAATCAGCTTTAGAAGTTGGCAACACCAGTCTTTTACTGAGTGAAATAGCAAGGTGAGATCATCAAGTATTTTAACTTTATCAACAAGTTTAGATTTGAACAGTTTATCAACTTTTTGCACTTCCATTAGAATAGGTTATAAAAAGAGAATGAATGACAAATTTTTTTCATTACTGTACATTCCATATAGTATTTCAGCTGTGTAGCACTTTTCATAATTCTTTCAACAGCTGGCTAAATTGATAACCATCTAGTTTTGCAATCTGACAGAATTTTCGGTGGTGTGGAACCATCATTCAAGGCTGTATATAATGTATTGTCTGACAAATGATTTAGAAAACCAGTAGTGTTTCAGCAATAAGGTATTCCAAATTCCTTGGTAAATATTTAGATGCAGCATGTGATAATGCTAGCTGCAATGAATGACGCATACATTTTATAAGTATTAACGATGGGTTAGCTTGCTTCAACTTGGCATAAACGCCATTGTTTATACCAACCATCACTGAGGCATTATCAGTACCAATTACAACCAAATTCTTCAAGCCTAACTGTTTGCTGATTAAAAGGTCCTTCAATTCCTAAACTATACTTTCTACATCACACTTTTCAAATTAAACTAAGATTTTTTACAAATCGATCAAATGGTCACAGTGTGAAATTGCGCAGTGACAAATTAAAAACATTGCGACTGATACCTCAACTTTTGATGATTCATTTATCAGTATAGTTCTGAAAACAGATGTCAGCGGTGTAATATCTTTTAAATGAAACTGCAGT